CCACGCTCAACTACTTTACAAGTTCAAACTATAATATGAATGTGTGACTTAATATTTTATTAATCTAACAGTCTCCCTCAAGCATACACTGAATTTTGACTTAAGACAAAATGTACAAATATATAACAAATGAGATAAATGGGGGGCCTAAAATGATTTGAACTTTAACTTTTTTATTTGCAATAAATATTTGCTCCGATTACTCTCTGGTGCACCACTGATCCAAGTTCATTCTTTTTTACAATGGTATGCCCCTAAGTGAATCATTTATGAAAGAAATTGATTAAGTTTCTCTGCACATCGACGTCGTAACAGATCTTGCTTTTTGCTCATAAATTTTCCATATCTCCACTCTCCTTATATGACATTGTTCATGAAGGGGTATTAAGTGAATCTAATGCAGATACTAAAATGAATTTGAATGCTTATAGATCTTGTAGAATCCACATGATGATTCATATTTGGTTTAGTAAATATAGCATGCTTATCAAATGATTTCTCCTTTGCGAACTAGGACAATAGCTGAGTTGGTTTCAGCACCCTTCCTTCTCTTCCGAAGGAAAGTCCAGTACCATTTACAGCATATTTGGTTTTTGGTCATCAAATAAGACTATAATGTAATAACTATTACATTGTACTGCTATACAGTCGCAATAATTATTTGTTTTAAGTAACGTGTTACCTATTGCACCGTTTGGTTACATGAATACATAAGTAAGAGGGAGTAAGATGCAAATTTCCAAAATACCAAAATTTTAATAGTCAATCACGGTCTATACGTGACATTCCGAATTTCGATCTATTTTTGGGATTTATAAAATGGGTATTTCGTCAGTGCGCTTATAATAAAATCTCGCCCGGAACTGATCACTCTTGGGTTATTCTTTTTAAATTAGAGATTTCGCTAGAATCGCACTCGATCGAATTTGGCCGTTATTTAGAGCCTAAACGATGGTGTCGAATTTCTCGGAGTTCCGGGACGAATTTAATTGGACGGTATCGATATTATTGTGGCCAGCGTCAATATTGCTCGGGATAAGTGAAAAGTGAAATTTAGATCGGGTGCGGATTTGGATTAATAAACTTCTCTCGGGATAATTTGATTTAATTAATTTGGCATTTGTCCCTTATTATATTCTAAGATTAATTTGGACCATAGGATCGTTTTCAAACTTGAATTCCGACCGTCGGATCGCACTCGATTTCTTTGACTTTAGTCTCTCTCTCTCTCCCCCGGTCTCGTCCTTTCCCCTTCTGCCCCACGCAAACTGTCCTCTCTCTCTCTTCTCTCTCTTTCTTTTCTTTTCTTTCTTCTTTTCTTCTCTTCTGCTTCTTCCTTTCTCTTCCTTCGTCCGACCGCTGCTCCTGCTCCCCTCTGCTGACCGCCGCTCGCCGACGCTCGACCGTCGTCGGCCGTCCGCCTTGCACCGCCGATCGCCCAGCCACCGCGCCGCCGCCGGCCGCGCCATCGCCGCCGCGACCCGTACTCTCTTTTCCCTTCCCCTGTTTTCTTCGCCCCGACTCATCCCCTGTTCTGCCTCGCCCGCGACCGCCCCGCGCCGCCGTTCCGGCCGCCATCGCCCCCACCGGCTCGCCGCCACCATCCCAGCTTTCCCCCCCTAAGCTGCCGTCGCCCTTGCTGCTCCGGCGACGACGCGTCTGCCTTCCCCTGTTCTGGCCGAGCCTACGCCGCCCCAGCTCGCCGGCTGCGCGCTCGCCCAGCTCGCCGTCGCCGTCGGCTGCTCGTCCTAGACCGGAGCTGTCGCCGTCGCCTCTCCTCTTCCTTTTCTTCCCCTGTTCGCGCGGCCTTGGTCGCGTCGGAGCCAAGGCCGACCAGAACCGCCGCTCGCCGCCCGTCCAGCCTCCGACGCCGCTGCTGTCTTGCCGTCCGCCCAGCTGCCGGCCGCTCGCCGTCGCTGGCTTGCCGTTTACGCCCCCACCGAGCTGCTTCTCTCTCCCCGTCCCCCCTGGTTCAGTCGAGCTTCTTCCTCCAGCCCCTGTTCCAGCCTCCGATCCGTCGCCGCCGTGAGCCGCCGCCCGAACGCCGGAGCTGCTGCTGTCCCGGCGACGTGGCTGCTTTCGTTCCGTCCAAATCGCCGCTCGTCACCCGTCTCGCCTCCGACGCGGCTGCTTTTGTTTCTCCCCCAGCCGCTCGCCGTTGCGGCGTCGCCGTCGCTGCCCAGCCGCCGCCGGAGCTGTTGCTGTTCCGGCGAGGTCCCTGCCACTCGCCGGTGCCGCTGCTTCTCACCACCGTGAACCCAACCGCTCGCCCCTGCTGCCGCTGAGTCGCCGCCACCGCTGCCCCGGCGATCCTCCCCGTGGCCCCGCCCCGTTTTCTTGCTCAAGTCGAGGTAAACAACTTCCTAATCCTCGCTTAGGGCTTTGGGTATTACTAGACTTGATTAGGGGTTATTTGGCGTGGGTTTGTGGTGAGATTATGGCTGATTTGAAGGGGTTTGATGGCTGGTTCGGGGATCTTCGAGTGGCGGTCGCGATATGTCGTTTTGTGAGTCGAGTGGGGTGATGAGCGGGCGGAATCTTGGCTGTGTAGTGGCTGGTCATTGCGAGATTTATGATTGATTCTTGCTCGTTGAATGGCCTGTTCGATGAGCCGATTTCAGGTAATCTAGGGAATGAAATATGGGCTATGTTTTGTCGGAATGGCGTGTTAGTGAGGCTAATTGTGCGGCTGTTTGGTGCTGATTTTATGACGGTTTAATGCTGATCTTTGTGGCTGTTGATGCTAATTTGGTGGCTGGTTTCGGGGTGAGTGAATGGGTCGGAATGTGGGCCGAAACGAGGTGGTTTAGTGTTGAAATCATGGCTGGATTGGTGGTAGTTAGTGCTGGAAATTATGTCAAGTTCATTGGGTGTTCTTGTATGATTTGATGTCCGCTTGGTGGTGGTTCGTGTTGTTTGTTCGTGGTTGGGTTGACGCCTATTATGTGAGCTTTGGCTTGGCGTGATTAGAATGAGTGGCGATTGAGCATATTATGGCGTTATTTGACTATGTGATTGACATGAAATTGATTGAATTAAGTGGCATGTGTATTTGCTTAAAAAGCCTGGATTGATCGGAGGGCTGCCAACCTGAGGCGTGGTTACGCGGGTGTGGCGAGAAAGGCAAGAAAAGACTTGAGGCGTGTTTACGCGGATCGTTGGAGGATGCTGAGCCTGAGGCGTGTTTACGCGGGCTGTGAGAATGGGCCTGAGGCGTGTTGACGCCGGCAGTGGGAAAGGATATGAGGGGTGTTGACCCGGGTCGTGAGAAAGTTAGATGGATGCGCATGTGAAATGTGTTTGGGTTGAATTGGGTGAACGCACGTGTGTATGGCGCTCGAATGATTGTGATATGTGCTTGGGGCTATTTTTGCGTTATAGTGACATGAGTAATGTGCAGAATTGGCGTGGGAATTGAGGCGAGGTAAGTACGTTATGTGATTTCTAATATGTCATTAGTTAGTTTGCATGTTGATACTCGTATGGGTACGCATTGGCCTATGTTAGGTTTAGATTGTCTGGTTATTGAGATTTATCTCACCCCCGTTGTTAAAACATTTTCAGGTTTTGAGTGACAAATAGTCGTCATGTGCGGTTCGGAGGCCGGGGGTGGTATTGGACATTGATGCTTCACCCCTGTTTGGATGCTCCTTGTTAATAGTGAAGTTAGGTTACCCAATCACCGCCCCCTTTTGATGATCGTGGTTTGAAGTTAGTAGCCAGGGGTTGATGTTGTGTATTGTGAATGCTATAGGTAATTGCCAAGCTTGTTATGCGTATATTGATTTGTGCAAATACTATCCTTTAGTCATTATTTACGGTCTGGGTTATTTCTATTTCGCTTCCGCTTGCCTTTATCGTTGGTTGTTTCGTTTGGGTCGGCGACGCGTCCTGAGACGTCACGTTCAATACGGCCATCGAAGGGATGTTGCGAGCCCGTCGGGGTTCGGGGCGTGACACTATAAGTTTAATACCCGATATTAATTAAACAAAAGGTTTATTATATCATAATTATTTCTACTGTAATAATTTCTATATGATATGGTTAAAAGATAAGCACATAAATGTGATCGTGTTAAAATAAATATTACGTTATATTATACTAATTTTCATTTTAATAAACAGTTAGGAGGGCAATACCGCATATATATTAATTGTGTTTTAATATATATTTTTATCCATTGCCGATTATGGTATAATTTTATTTGATCATATGATAAGTAAATATGTTAAAGTAATCATTGTCTGGTACATGTTTGTAGTGTGATTGAAATTCTATTAATATAAAATTTTTAGCATTGTTAATCACTATATTATGAATAGCATAATGTTATTTATATAACAGTATCTAGTAACTAACATAACATGACTAATCTCTCTGAATGCACATAAATCGCCCCTATTGGGTAAAAAATATACAAGTTATGGACGATTAAAAAAAATTGAGTATATCAAGGCCAACCCAATAGAAGAAAGGTCTTCCATTGAGATGTAGACAGTCGTCCAAATGATGTGAAAATTGTCATATACTCAAAATACAAGAAATCCTACTTAGCCCTATGCCTCTCCTCTCTTTTAGCAATCCTTTAACCATGGCCACGGCAATTTCTAGAGCCGCCATCGTCACCGGCGTCGCCAAGTATTGCTCCTTATCGCCAGCAATATCGTAGTCTAATGTCATGCATGGCATTAGAAATTTGTCGTCATGAACAATACAAGCAATCATTTTAGGAAGATATAAGAGTGCATATGCTTATGGACAACACGCCACTCAGTCCCGCTTAATCAATAAAAGACATGTATATGCATGGGTTTGGCGAGGAGTTCATGTATCCCACACAGTTCGCTCCTATATTGATACGTACTCTAATATAATCAAAATGACATGCGAGTCGAGTCGAATAACACTCATAAAGACCGAAGACTAATCTTAACAGCAAGTAATCATTGTATACAATCCTCGTCTTTCATCAGTCATAGTGACCAGAACATTAGACAAAACGTTCGTGCTTGCATATTTCATGTAACAGTCAAATCAAGCCTAATCAAACTAGAGATTCTCCGTTTCTCATGGAATTAAGCAACTCTTTAATCTGGACGGCAATCGCCTGCTCTCGATTTCATGCAGTTCTGTGTGAAGCGAAGTCCTCGAAGTACACGAACCCGTCCCCGTTCTTGTCCACCTCCGCGATCATGCGCCTGCACTCCTCCATCGTACACTGCACGTCCCCGAGCACCACGAATGACCGAAAATGTTGGACTTAGCTTATCCATGACTGCAATACGACAAGAAGGAAAAGGATGCATGCTCCAAGTATATGACTCAAAATCAGAAGTCAATATATTCCCAAGCTTCAATTAATCAAGTTTATACTACCCAAATGATGAGTTGGTGATAAAGACCAGAAAGACTGGAGGGTGGTGCAACTCCAGTGAAAGGCGGCAGCATGTGAGTAAGCTATTCTCAACGGCAATATCTCTGCGAATCAACAAAAGAGGAACGACACGATTCAACTAAACCAGCTACAGAAAACCGAATGAATGAAAATGTTGGACTTAGCTTATTTACTGAAAACTGCCCCATCTTCTCCGATATTCGCCCGTGTCTCCGGCTTCATCATGCAAAAGAAGTCCCAAGTGACACTCACAATCACCGCGAACAAGAAGAAGGACCTTTGGAAAATGATTGCATTGTACAACGACGCATACATCATCGATGACACTGCTCTCATCACCTGATTAACAGCAACAGCGATTACGCACTCCAGCGCACGCAACCTCTGCGGAAAGATCTTTGAGAAGTACACCCATGTGACTGGCCCCATCCCGATGGAGAAGAAGGCCACCTAGGACAATGAGGTGATTCACATGACCACGGCCAATATGGGTTTCATGTTGCTATGGGCGATGATGGTGAGACACATTCTGAGAGAGGCGAGCGAGAAGATCATCTTGCCGACACTATTTAGCAACAACGGTTGCCGCCCAATCGTTGCTGCGAGTAGCATCGGCGGGATGATCATCTCGCTCGACTCTATCAGTAGGAGCCTCATTGTCATCGACCACAGCCACACAAAGCTCATGTGGGCGGTGACCATGTGCATCTCCTCGGTGTTGTCCTATGCGGCCTTCTTCTCCATTAGGATGGGGCCAATCATATGGGTGTAAAGCTCGGAGATCTTCCCACTGAGGTTGCGTGCACTGGGGTACGCAATCACCATCGCCCTGAAATGAGTGACGAGTGGAGTATTAACGATGACATTCTTATCGCTATACAAGGCAATCGCCATCGACAAGGCCTTATTCTTGTGCGTGGCAATATGAATTGAGGGATGTTTGCTGATGTGGACGAGGACAAAAAAAAAGAATTACTATGATGAATTTTAAAAGAGAAAAAGCCGACAAAAATTTCTTTGGAAATTCAATTTCTTGAGAACAAGAAGTCTTTGATAAGTGGTTGTGAATTTTTTGTTTCGCCCATTTGAGTCTGACCCCACTATGTAGTTTAGCCACACTCTTTTTCTTGGCCTCGCCGAAATTTTCTTGTGTTGTGCATGTGCCATAAGCGTGTGGTGCATTGCCATGCATGTTGAATACACATTTTCTGGAGGACTGCTGGCTAAGGATTAAGCAGAGTTTTCCATCTAGAATTTTGATTTAGTCATGATTAGAGAATTCGTTGGTTTTCCACAGTTTCTTGATAAAGCGGGAAGGACTTTTGGGAGGAAGGGCAACATTCAACTCTGGATAGACGAATTGAGGAATTTGCAAAAATCACCTATTATCAAAATCCAAGACATGGATGAAGTGCTCGAATTTCCGAAAGTCTAATATGAGGAATTAGATGGGGAGTAATTTTTGTGTGGAGTATTGTTTCATGAATAATTTTCCATATTTGTGGATCATTTTGAAGGAAATTTGGAAGGCAGAGGGATTTCTCAACGTGCATTCTTCTTGTTACGGGAAAAATTAACATTACAAATGCGATCTCTTCTTTATACATCAATCGCGACCTTCCTGAAGTGGGTCTACCAACCCGGGAGACAGGTTTATAGGTCTTGTCAAGTTGAGGACCAACAGTTCTCAATCGGCGCCCATCCTCCCAAGCCCTTAGCTCGACATTGGAATTTTATTTTAAGTGGTTAATCCTATAAGAATTCTATATGATAAAGTCACCACTAGCCTATTGAGTTTGGGTAGAAACCAAATGAGATATGGGAGAATACCTCCCTTCCTACACAACCAGAGTTCTAGAGACTTGATTACACTAGTTTTTCAACTAATACCCTTTTATTACCTAACTTGATTCATTTTTAACTATGTGTCTGATGCGATCTTTATCCAATTATGAGTTCTAATGTTTTCGTGTGCTATCTGTGCATGCAATCTTTGTTATGTTTATTATGGTCCTAGAATGTAACTTAACCATTCGATTACAACAATGAATCACAACACAAAAAATGATATAAGAGCAATCACAACAAACACATCAAAAACAATAATGAAGAACAAACAAAAGGTAAGGTACGGTAAAATAACCCAGTGCAGTGTCGGGTAAAGAACATCACAGGGCCTCATCTTTAGTGATAGTAGAGCAACCCTATGAGCTAAAATCAAATAAATTCAGAAGTGTAATACTAATTCTAATATCTAAAAGGAATCTATTGTTAATGAAATCTACAAAGGAGGAAAAACATGTATATGAACTAATCCTTAAATGCAAATCTAATATTAATGCAATAAGATTTTGATCTTTTCAATTTTATACAAGTTTAACATTTTCTACATTTTTTCTTTTCATTTATTTCATCTGAAAAAAAGGACCATCTAAAGTTTGGATTTATTTCGAAAATTCAAAGAAAATATCTCCCTAAACAAATCAGCCCGAACTAAAATGAAATTTAACTAACACTACAACCTAAGATGCAACCACCTAATTTTTATGTATTTTTAATTTTTGTCAGTTTTTATAGTAATTTACGATTTTTTATTCCCTTTAATTTCTTTTTCCTTTTTTATTCTTCTTATACTTCGCTTGGTTTCCCTTTGCCTCTTTCATTTATTTTTTCTTTGAAACGTCCTACATAGACATGATCAACTCTTTGCTTTGTTCATAATTCACCTAGCTCTGTTCATCATTTTTCTAGCTTCAAAAACTAATTAACATCATAAAAAATCTTCATCAACCGGGGAACTCATTGATGCCGCAATCTATATTCTAACCATCACACATGTAATGAAACATGTTCAAATCACAAACTGGAACTCAATGGCACATGATCTTCAGGGAACCAATAGTTAAGATTTCTTGTCTTTGTTTCTCCGAGAACAGAGTATACAGGTACTTACCTTGGAGATGCAGATGTTGATTTCGAAGGATGATCAAACTAAGAAGCTGCGTGAACATGTTCAAATCACAACAAGAACACATGATGCAGATGTTCACACTTATAAACAGCCACTTGCATCAACGGCTTGACATCTGGACAGCGTGTAATGATTGCAGATGTCCTTACTAGCTGACCAATATAAGATGCTTTGACCTCTCTAATAGTTAATGGCCGTCCTTTCGAAGATGCTCTATTGTCAACTTCACTGAACAAAAAAATTCAAGAGGAAGACACAACTAGCGAAGAAACAAACAAACAAACATCATATTTTGCTTGGAAGCTGACAATATTGCACGCAATGCTCAGGTGCTGGCCAACTAGCAGAAAGCCAAAGCATTGCACAACATACTAGAGAAATAGGGGAGAACTTTTCTCACTGCATGCTGAATTCTGCAGTTTCGTGGATGAATACTGGTGCAAGAAAATCAAATTTCTTTGGGGAACCCTCAAATTTCAGTTATGAATGCATCGTTTTAACTGGACTAGTAGTCAATAGTAAACAAATTAGGCGTTTAAAGTATCAAAGGACAAGGCCTCTAATGAAGCTTACAAGTATAGTTTGATTTCAGAAGGCATCTTCTGAAGTGGATCCACACCGTCCACATTTTCTCTGTTATCTTCAGACCTCTGGATTAAAAGCATGTCGTGATCATCATCCGGAAAGGGCTCCGTGGGTTCTGGCATGAGCTCATCAAAGGCCTCGGTGAAAATTCCAATATATCACTGAGTATTTTAAGTGACCCGTCTAAGAAATTCTTCATCTAAGTCCTTGTACTACGCACATGTTACCACAGCGTCAGAAGTAATTACAGAGCATAAGAAACCTTGGCATGTGAGGTGCGGAAACTTACATCGACTGAGTCCTCGAGCTCGATCTCAACAGCAGAAATGTTTCAATTTACTACTTCTTGCTGAAATCGGTACAGGCGGCCCTCGTGTGAGTCATTTAAATTGGAAATAAAAAATTAACTACGATTGATTCAATTGTAAATCTAGGGTTAATCCATTTTTAAGTACCAGAACATAATTGCACACGAAAGAGATTCCTCAGCTTTAGTTCACAGACATCAGATAAAGGATCGGCGTGATGTGAGATCAAGCACATATCGTTTTCATTGATTTCACCAAACACGAATGATGTACATCTTACAACGCTTAGAAGGACATCCGTATATAAATACTAGTCAAGAGGAGAAACTTACGAGGACGTTCATGTACTTGGCTTCTCCATTTGCATCAGCAGAGTTCGAGAGGAAATCCTTCGCGATCGCCGTCAGCATCACACGTGAAACCCGTTTCACGAAACGCCGCCGATTAATTCCACGGACACACACAAAAACATAGCGAGAGAGAGAGAGAGAGAGAGAGAGAGAGAGGAACCTTTACCTGCCTTCAAGTCGAGGTCCTTCATGGCTTCACCGAGTGTCAGCCTCTCCCTTAGACTCAGGATAAACAAGTCTTGGAGGCATCGTTGCTGGTGATCGGCATCGGCAAAGAAGAGACGGGCAGGAGCCGACCTCTTCGACGTCACTGATAAGAAAACACAGTAAAACAGAGACGCAATCAGCGAGGCTCTCGAGCGGCGCGGGGCAGGCACAGGACGTGGCCGCACACCAATCGCTGGACCTGCTGCTGCGCGCGAAGCTGGGGGGCTCGTCAGGATCAGCTTGGGTGATGCTTCGCTACAGGGAGCAACGTCGGCAAAAGACCGCAAGAGATGCCCAGAAAGCTTCTGAGTTCGTCGAACGGTCGCTAGAACTCGCTGCGGGAGGGCTTGCTGAACATGGTGTGAGCGTTGGCGGAGGGCCATGGCTGGCTGCGGCGGCGGGAGTGATCATGAGAATTTAACACCAAGGAGAAAAGGGTAAAGCTGAAGAATCGTCCCGCCCTTACCATGAAGTGACGATGACTTTGTTTTTGGCCACCTTGTTTCTCCAACACCTGAACGATCTTCATCCGTTCCTTGTTTTTAGCCACCTTCTTTCTTATTTCAAACAACAAATCCCTATCACTATCAGATTTTTCAATCTCCAGATATCCATTAAGATCCGCCGTTTTCACTTCGGTTTGAGCGAGTTTGTTGAGCGAGTCATAAGCGAGAGATAGAGAGAGTTAGTTTTTTTTTACGAAATCATTATTCTTTCGATGAGCATACGGTTATAGAAATTGGAACTTCTACTGAGAAAAGGAAATGAAAAGCACACGCTTGCAACACTGATCATAAGACCCATATTGGCAATTTTATTTCCCATATCCGGCAAATCTCAGAATAAAGAAAATTTGGCATTTTGCATCAAGCGACCAAAATTTCGTGGGTCGTAAAACATCGAAGGACATGCCTAAATGATAGAAAAGCCGTCTTCATCCATCGTAAACATCTCTTGATTCATAGTGAATATGTCGCATTTTTTGGTAGTTACAAAAATATTCGGAAGGGGAAACGAGGTGTTGCGCAATCTGGTCAGCGCATCTGTTTTGGGTACGGGGGGCCATAAGTTCGAATCTTGTCATCTTCATGTGATGGGCCGAAGTACCAGCCCAGCCCGTTACCGGTAGGCGGCCTAAAAGCATGCCGACGATGGGTTAGAGGCCCTAGTATAGGTAAGCTTGGAAGGCTGCCAAGACAATGGTGATCCACTAATTTAATATTAGGAATTTCCTTTGTAAGGCAAGTGAATGGGTTGGGACAGGCTTACCTAAACAAAAAAATACAAAAATGGAGAATAGTAAGAGAGTTTGGGAATTAAGAATAAATAACGATGTGGCACACAATTGAAACTTGACCTAGATATGAATGAATTAAACAAGAGATCCCAAAGCAAGACATTTTATTGGTTTATACATCATAAAATCACCGTGACCTGGGTTAGGACGAGTCAAGAATGGTGTCATTATTTAAATGGTGGATATTTTTGTCCGCCAAGTAAAAGTTTATACATCTTTTTGTGGCATTTGAAAAGTTATCATCGGACCAAGCCTAGGCATCATACTCATTTACTCTTTGATTGAAAAGTAAAGATAATGGCTTTCTGACGGTATCATTGATACTCCCTTTAAATTTGAAAGTAGCGCCATGAGAAACCACTTCTTTTGAATCGGGATGCCAACTTTGTGTATTCTTCAATCTCGATATCCTTCTCTTCCTAGAGCCAGGTTAGAATGTCCAGTAATCTTTGGAAAAAAAAAATTATCATAGGATATCATGAAAAAATGTAAAAGAAGTGGAAGAGATATGGCAAAACTACGAGCGAAAAGCTGGACCAATGTTGCGTGATCTTCATTTCGTCCTATCAGGATGTCCTAGAAATAAAAGGATTTTCTTGACATAAACCATTTGAGCAGGGGTACACCAATTTCTCCCTTTGCATATTTGTACCCATGGCCAAAAGGAATGAACTCTAGTCAGACATTGATCCGTCGGAAATTACCGGAGCAAGAGTTTCATACGGAAAAAGAAAAATTCGGGTGAACAATGAACGTGTTGAATATGAGCTTTATTTATTGCCTCTAGATAACTCCTTTTTTAGACAATGATGGCGTTAGTTACATATGCGCTTATGTTGAATTTTAGTAAAGCAATCACAAAAAGAATAAAAGAATTACGAGGTGCGGCAATGTGCCTACGTCCTCGGACAAAACTCTCAACTCTCTTATTTTTTGTCGTGAGAGTTAAGCAGCATATTCTGCAATTTGTACACAAGGGTTGCCACAACAAAGGAAACAAGCAAACCCGAAAAACAGAAAACTCCAAAAAATAGGAAAACTAACAATATACAGATTTGCACCCACCCATGAGTAGCTCAGTTAGTTAGGGCGTACTTGGGATTGTGTGGTTAGGCGCACTGGTCCCAGGTTCGATTCCCCAGCTGAGCACTTGTGATTTAAGTGGGGGGCCATGGCGGTGAGTTGCTGTGCTAGTCTCCCCCGAGGAATAGTCGAGGTGCGCACAAGCTGGCCCGGACACCTCGGTTACAAAAAAAATAAATAAATAATATACAGATTTGCCTACAATCTCTCCTTTCCTTGAATAGGAACGCAAATCCCGCCAATAGCTTATGTATATTCCTTTGTTATAAACGTCATGTTATTCATGGCTGAAACTAGTTGAATTACTTGATAAACCATATGTCTATAACCTACCTATAGCGGTTATATTTGCATGCCTATTTCTCCCGTGTAAATAACTACTAAGTTATAAATATCCTGTAAATGATTTCCAAATTCATCTAGATAATATTCTCATATGTGATTTGGTCGTAAGTGATGCAAGCATGGACCAACCCACTGATTTAATTTCTCCTTTTCCAAATTATTTAATTTTTTTAATGACATGTTTCGGTTTTCATAAATTTTGACTCCGTCTTACGCCAATAATAGCTCCTAAGAAATACAAACTCTAATCCATAGCCCCGTGCTTGCACTAATTCATGGTCTATGAAGGGAATGAAGCTTAGCCAAGAAAATTTGCAATGTGAAAATGTTGTGAATTATGGTAGAAGCTACTCATTAACTCCAAACTCTACACTACAAAAAAATAAGGTTTTAGCCACGAATTTTGCCACGAAAAATTCGCCAAAATTCGTCGCTAAATGAATTTGCGACGAAAAAAATTTCGTCGCTAATTCGGCGTCGCAAAATTTAGCCACGAAAAATTTCAATTTTCGTCGCTAATTTGCCACGAAAAAAAATTCGTCGCAAATTTTTCGTGGCAAAATTCGTCGCAAATTATTCGTGGCAAAATTCGTCGCTAATTTGCCACGAACTGTATTCGTCGCAAAATTCATCGCTAATTTGTCACGAACTATATTCGTGGCAAAATTCGTCGCTAATTTGCCCCGAAAAAACAAAAAAAAAATTCTATTTTTTTAAAAAAAAATTTTTTGCCACGAAATGTATTCGTCGCAAAATTCGTCGCTAATTTACCTCGAAAAAGCAAAAAAAATTATTTTTAAAAAAAATTCTATTTTTTTTAAAAAAAAGTTGCCACGAACTGTATTCGTCGCTAATTTGTCCTGAAAAAACAAAAAAAATATATTTTTTTAAAAATAAAATTTTGAAAAAATAAAATTTTCAAAAAAAATTCTGTTCTCTAGCTCATAAATTAACAGGGATATAACCAAGAAACAATTTAAACTGTCTATTTCTCTGAGACAGCTAAGAAATTAACTAGCCGGTGACGGAAAGATTACTATAGCAATGTGCAAGTTTGGTATCAACGCCTAATAAGCAAATCTCCTGTAAAAACACTAAATGGGATTATCTATCGCCTATCACATATGTAATGGATTTATCTCAAGTCCTTTTTTTTTTTGCCGTGTATATCAATACTTGACTTTGGCTAAATTTCTCAGGTAACTTTAGACCTAAAAGAATCATCATGTAACTAACTGCATCCTTGTGTGTACATGCTTATTCTGGCTGCACCTATGATTTAATTCTAGGACATCTTACAAAAGGTATTTCCTTTGCATGACTTTCAAGCATCCGAAATAACTCCACAAATTCTAACAATATGTTGAAAGACCAAGCAGTTCCAGAAATGAGTACAATTCGGTGACATAGATATAAACAGCAAGTACCATCTATGTTCAAGGAAATGGAGATGTAAATGTGACAAATTCGGAGGGTAATATAAAAAGTCAGTTCACATAAATATTAATTGTCAAATGCAAACAATAACAACCAATTGTCTGAAGAGAACTTAATGAGATCAGAATTACAGTGTCACGAGACCTACCTAAATGACAAGCATAAGAACAAAAATAGTCACTAACATTTTCTACTTGTTGAATTCAGATCCTATATACATTCAAAAAGCAACAGTCGACAAGATAATATAGGAGCATGAAACTACCTTGACTCCCCCTTAATTCAGAGATCATAATAAGATACGCCCACTTCACCTACAAGTCAAAAGACATATTTATTGGGAAGAATGAACATGGATACCAACAAGAAGCTACAACATTAAATCCTCAACTTAAGATTATTTCCAGTGATATCATGGACTATATGCAAAGTTGATATTATTCAAGTAATATCCACCATTTCTTGGAAAATAATCTCACAAACGACATTCAAGAACTGCTCAATTCGAAGACTCTGATGCTATGACATAATTGTCAAGAGGGTAAATCTCCCATTATGAAGAGAGAAAATAGTAGGGTAAACATAAACTACTTTCCATCAGCCAATATTACTGCCATCAATACCTATATCCATATGTATCCA